AACCTGAGGAAAGCAAATAAAGGCCCAGGGAGCCCAAACAGGGAAATGAGCATGAGTTAACAGGTAACGATCAGGTATACCACCTCCTCTCCCCACTTTTCATATTTGTGGTGTAAACAATTTGACAAGGTACGAAAACTCAAAACAGATTTTCTAGCCCACTTGAGATAGGGAGACAAAATAGCATCCAGGTGTCCAACACCTAAAATCCAAAGGCAGGAGCCAAGCAGTGAGCGGTGGGGAGGGAAGGAGGAACTCCCCATAGGAAACTAGGTCATCTGCTCTGTGGGCCTCATCTGGATGTCTCCGATCTGCAGAAAGAATAAGGCGTGAGGTTGCCAGGATGCTCTCCCCAACCAGTGAGGCCTTCCCAACCTCGGAGCATGGTAAGGCACCTCCAGGAGTAGACAGTCAAGGCCAGACTCACGTGAACATGTGGAGGGGTGCTGAGGACATAGATGACGGCTTCGGCCACATCCTCAGGCTTGAGACACTGAGGACACCAGGCGGAAAGGGTGAGGTGAGGACAGAACGGACCCAAGTTCCCTCCCATGTCTGGGTCCTCTGCAGCATCCACAAAGCCACCCAGCCCTCCAGGAGGGGTGACCATGAGGCTAAAAGGGGGGATCCAAAAGCCAGGGTTCCCTCTGCCTTCACTTAGGGACTGTGTGGCTCACCAGCCCAGAGGGAGGCCCCACCTTCATGTGTTCATAGATGGCAGCTGCCTTCTCAGGGTCCTTGTCATGGAGCTTGAAGGCAAATTGTGTTTCTACCACTCCTGGAGAGATGCACTGGGCCAAGAGAGGGCCTGCTCAGGGTCTGAGCTGCACCCCACCTGGGCCCCAATCAGAGGCCAGGTGTTGGCGAAGTTGGAGAAAAGGATGGAGGCCACAGGGCCCCAGCTTCACAGTGATGGCTGCCCTATGTCCAGCAGCCACCTCCTCCCTCCAAAGCTGCCACTGGTGATTATCAGTGACACCTGCCACCTACAGGGAATGTTTTACCAAGTGGTGTTCCTTAAAATTTCATAACCAGGTAGGTATCATCATCTCCACTACACACAGAGCACTGAGACTTGGAGAGGTTGAGTGAGCTGCTCAAGGTCATGCAGCCTTCAAAGGAGAGCCCTGAGTCCTGTTTCTAGCCAGTTTCCCACATGCCCCTGCTTTCCCTCATAAACCCCCTCCCACCTCAAAGTCCATGAACTGAGGAAGCTCAAACGTTGAGTATGGCCATACAAACAGCAGCAGAGCCCAGAAGTTCTGTACTCAGTGTGCGCCCAGGAGGAATAAATGGCACACTGCAAATGTGGGACCCCTGGGCAGTGTGCGGGGTGTAGGGAAGGCCTGGGCCTCCCGGTCCCCACCAGGGCCAGGCCACAGGCTCACCGTGGCGCGGATGTGGCTCTGGGCCTCCCGGAGCTCTTGCCTCAGTCCCTCTGTCAGTGCAGTGACGGCATACTTGGTAGCACTATAGAAATGGGTCACGGACTGGGGTGACACTCGGTGACCAGACATGCTGGGTGGAGGGAGGGAAGGGGAAAGAAGAGAGTGAAGACCCTCCTGAGGGAGCAGCAGTGCCCCCTGCTGTGAACCCCACCCCGGGGATGCCACAGGATAGCCTTCTTTAGGGGACTCTAGAGGCCATCCTCGTGGCCCACTAATACAGCTTGTTCTTCAGGCAGCTCCTGGAAGCCCTACCCTTCCTTCCTGGAAGACCCTATGCTGAACACAAGCCACTCTCCTGGTCACACAGGCTGTCAGAAATTTGTTTCATCTGTCTTCACTGATATGGTTCTATTAGGAGACCTCTAAGGGCAGAGGCCATGTCTCCCCACTCAGACTGGGGGCTTCCCAAAGTTGTGCAGCCTTTCTTTGTACCATGAGGTGGGGTTCATTCAAGTGCCTGAGGAATGGAGAACCTCAGTCCCAGGAGGGCCCCCAAGCTTCAGCTGTAAAGAGAAGGGGCCGAGCTACCCATTCCAGCCAACTAGGTGGTACGCTTTACATACATACACCCTTCTTTCCCTTACCATAATTGAGCCATTGCTTGTTAACTGGGTAATAAACCCCTACTTTACCACCAAGGACACTGAGGTCCAAAGAGCTCAAGTGAGCTGAGCAGATCACCCAGCCTGGCGGGTGAGTGGACACCTGCCTCACCTGTTGATGTTAATGATGTGCCCATCGTCCACCTTCCGCTCCTTCATGGACTGGTAGGCTTCCCGTGTGCAGATGCTGAGGGCCAGCACGTTTACCTGCAGGCCAAGGAGGGTGGGGTGGGGGGTGTTTCTCGCTTGGGCCTATCTGAGCCAGTGATGGGGCCACACCACACACCCTCCCAGGCAGGGTGGTGGCATTTCCAAACAGTGTCCAGGTCCCACGGGAGACTAATGACAGTTCTAGGGCACTTTGCCTTAAAGTGCTCCTCCCCCTAGAGCCACCAGCCCCAACTAACAACAGAGGTAGCTTCTCTACCTGGAAGACCCTCCAAGTTCCTGAAAACAGGAATGGAAACCCCCTCCTCCCAAACCCACCCGTGACCCAGGAACCCTCCTGTCTTGGCTATCTCCTGCACAAAAGGTAGAACCTTAGGGAACCGTCTCTTTTTCTTCCCCCAACATCCTATACTCTTCTCTGGGACAGTGTCCCTGGCTCTGCTCTCTCCTAAACAGCCGAAAATCCTTCCAAAAATGGACTTACAACTCTCTCTCCTCAAGCACAGACCCTAGCCTCTCCCCACCTTACTCGGCTCCTTTCCCATCCCCTCCCAGTCTTCCTTTAACCTCTGTTCCCCCTACAAGGCCGGGCACAGAGACTCTTGAGGGTGGGCAACTTGTCACAGCATAGCAGGGGACTATCCCGAGCACATGGGGGCTTCCAGCCTTTCTTGGCCCCTGCCCACTCCTACATGCTGTCAGAGGTGACCCCAAACCCCCACCCTTACGGAACAGAGGCCTAACGAGGTGCCTCTGCTCTAAAGCTCCTGCCCTGCCCCACCCCTTAGCCTCAGCCATGAGGGCAGATAAAACTTTCAGCAGGTCCTCCTCTCTCCTCTCAGAAAAGGGGGGGCAGCCAGGAGACTAGATGTTTCCCTCTATCAGGCATCAGAGCCAGGCCCCAGGACAACACCACTGGAAGCCTGCCTCAGCATTCACAGGAGGACACAGGAGGCTTTCAGCTGTGTTTCTGGTCTTCTTAGCAATGAGGGTTTGTGGGCAGAGAACTCAGCTTCTACGCACAGATGCAGGGGGAGCACCAGATGCCCGGGGGCCGGGAGAGTCTCTCAGGTCTGTGATGTCCAGCATGGGAGTGGAGAGCCTGCATGGTGTTCAAGCTGACAGGAGCCACGGGGATTGAATGCAAGCCCCTCATTTTACAGATGGGCAAGGTGAGGCCCAGGTTTAGAGACCCATTTACTGCAGGTGAAGAGCACAGCTCAGACCTCCCAGAAGACTCTCTGAGGGCAGGGGCAGTTTCACTGCTCATTGTTTGCTTCAATGTGCACTGTTCATTTCCAGGCCCAAGCACCCGTTAGGTGCTAAATCCATTGTGGGGAAAAGACATATAGCATTCACACACTGCTTTCAATTTCTTAGAATACTTTCATACCCCAGGATTGCCCTATAAGACAGACTGGGAGTTGAAAACCCATGTCACTGAAGGTGATTTTTGGTTCATACATGGTTTTAAATTCATTTTCAACAAGTTTTGGAAGGTTTCACTCATTCAAAAAATATCTATTGCATGTTTACAGGCTGAGGCTGTAATAGGAGAGCTGAGGGCAAAAATCCTTGTCCTCGTAGAGCCAAGGTTTTGGTGAATGGGAGGGGTGGGATGTCACATAAAAATCCAGGCTCTCCCCTCCTCTCAAAGACACCACTGGTGGCGCCACACTGGGGCCCACAGTGCCCTGTAGCAGTGATGCTGGACTGCAGTAGCCTCCTCCGGACATGGCCACATGCTCTCCCACTTACTGCAGGCCCCACCTGACCCACCTCTTTATGCACTGACCTGGCCCCAGGGGACACTGGAGTTTGTAACCCCAGATACTGACAGTACAGGTGTATTCATCCCATTGAAATGTGATGAGACTGAGGCTCAAAGAGGGTAACTACCTACCCAAAGCACATTGTTAATGGCAGGCCTGGGTGAGGACACCACCATCTCCCATCTCCTGGTTTCTTCTCCTCCCATTAGACCATGTTCCCAAGAACTTGGCACAGTGCTGGCACCTGTGAACATTTGCTAAACAGCAGTTCTCTCCTCCACCAATTTTTTTTTCCAACAGTGAGAAACCAGGTCAGATTTTAAGAACTGCCCTCAGGGGCTCAAAGGAAAGAAATATGGAAAAAATACATCCATTCCCCCACTCACTGTCCATCTGGGAGGGAAAGAAGCAAGGGGAGAGTCAAGGTGCCCCAGGGAGGGGCCCAAAGCACCCTCTTGCTAGATGTCCCATCCTGAGCAGCCCTCTGGTTTGCCAACGCTGGCTCCCCGCTCTCCTCCAATCCCCGGCTCAGCCCGCAGCCCTTACGTTGAACATGTCCCTCCAACTGCTGGTGCTGCCAGAGAGCAGTGTGTCAGGCCGGGCCAAGCCAGCGTTGTTGATGCAGATGTCCACACCACTGTGCTGAGAGCGGACAGCCGAGAACATGGACAGAATGTCCTCCTCACTTGACAGGTCACATCTGTAGGGGATCAAAGTCCCGGGGTAGCCTGCACTCCTACATTCGGCAGCCAGCTCCTATGAAACCCAACAGGGGTCTAACTGCGGTGAGCTGCTCACTCCCCCCCACACACCCCCACCGCCCCCAGACAACCTCCCTTCACTTCACCACTCAGGGCTCTCTCCTTGGGGGGCCACCTTTCGGCTCCCCATCCCCAAAACTTGTCCTGTTTGGTCAGAGTCCAAAGGGAGGTGAACACTGCGATCACCAACAGAGAAGCCTCCTGGACAAACCTGGGCATCCAGTTCTTAGAAGGGAAGAGGGGTGGGGCTCTGAGGGGGCCAGAAAAGGGGGTTAAGGATGCTGGCGATGGAGTGATATTCCTTGTCTGCCTCCCCATCAACAGCACCACCTCTGCTCTCAGCTAAGACACACCTCTCACCCTACCTACCCTGTGTTTCTTCCACTGCTGCCAAGAGTCACTGAGCTGCTTATGCCAGGGCCTTGGGTCTCTTCTCTCCTATTGCCTCCAATCCCTCCCAATGGCTTATATCTAAACTATCACCCCCCTTCCACAGACTGCAGCCAGTCGGCTCAGAGCTCTCACACATACTTTTCCACTGAGCCCAACTGCCGATCTCCCCTTGCCCTACCTATAGGAAGGGTCAGAGGTCAATATAGATTCTTTGTCTCTAGCCCTCTTTGCACTACCACTCACCCAAAGTTTGTCTAGAGACTGAGGCAAGTCAGGTGGCAGGTGACATCGAGCGCCCCTGGGGCATCGCTAGGGCTTTCAACACACTGAGGGGCTCTGTGAGAAGAGAGACCCGAGAAAGCAGAGCCTCTGAGAGTTGGGAAGCTGATATTCAGAAGCAGGAAGAAAACACACTGTGAAGCCCTGGAGGGCAGCGACTGGGCCCCTGAGCCTCCTGAAGGTGACTATGTACATGTGCGGGAGGGAGAGGGCTGGGGCGTGCAGGGTGCCCTAGAGGAAGGCCAGATGCCCTGGCCTGGAAACACTTCCTACCCCCAGACCAAGCTGGAAATAAAGGGCAGGATTAAGTGAAGGAAATTATTTTCTGCTTTAACTTTCTGAGAGTTCAAAAGGGACTTAAAACTCCCCTGCACCCAATTTCACCTGTTCAGGACTGCCTCAGGAACTAGGGCTTCTCTGTGGAGGAGCCCAAAACTCAAACTCTGTTTTCCTACCAATCAGTAAAAACAGACTGTGGGCAAGGAAGCCTGGAATTCTCCCCTCCCTTGGCATGGCATCTTCTCCCTTCTACCACTAGACTCAACCCCCCACACGAAAACCCAGAATGGAAGGACTAAGAACATATTTCTCCCTGTCACTGCCTTCTCATTGCTCCACCTGTATTCATCTGTCCTAACAAATGACGCAAAACCATGTCAGTCCCCTCACAGGAGAGGCATTCTTCCCTCATTAAAGGAATCATCTGGGGCTGAGGAATCAGCCTGGGGATCTTCTTGGGACTCAGGAGCCCCCCACTTCTATCCTGGCTAGTTTGGGGTGGGGGAGCAAGAAGAGAAGGCAGGTGTGGCTTTGTACTAGTAATCCAGTGGTCTAATCCCTGGCCTGATCCTTTAGGCTCCTCGGCCTGGGCTGGGCCCTGACCGCAGAATAGGAGAAAGGGAGGGGCAGAGAGTGGGGCAAAGGTATTGTCAGGTGACCTTGGGACTATGCAGGCAGCTATAAAGTGCACCCTGGGTAGTGGCAATGGAGGGGACAGCCGTCCTTCCCAGCCACCTTTGCCCTCTACCCCACCCCCAAGACCTCCTTACCCTCTCTCTGCCTGGGGACTCTGAGCAATGGTTGAGATAACAGCTAAGCACTGACCCTAAAACCTGACAGTTTTTGCCTGGGGCACAAAGATGACCTATAATGAAAAATTTCTCATCTTTTTCCTCCCTGCTTCATACTACTTTTCTCTGATCTGAGCTCTTGTTGCTCACAACTCTGGGGCTCCCAAACCCACCTTAGGAGAAAAACCAGGAGTTTCAGTTCCACATTGCTTTGTCCCCTCAGGTGCTCACATGTGCAATGCCCTATTTCACCTATTCAGTCTCACCTAGGGCAGTGAAATTGGAGAGAGGTCTACCTATGAATATCCCATTCATCTCCTTTGCCCACTGGGTAGGGGTTAACCCTCAGATTTGGTGTGGGGGAAGGGGGCTGAGCCTCTTCAGAAAAGCTCCACTCCCATCGCAACCCCAGCCTCAGCCCTGGTGAAAAATGATTCCGACCCAAACCTCGAGTTCCCGCTCATCTGGCTGGCCAGCCACTTTGCTTAGCTTTGTGAGCTAGATAAGGGGACCAGAGGAAGTAATCCACGGGATTAGTTAGCCACTGAGGCCAGAAAGCTTTCTTTCCTTCTCCCCGGCTGCCTAGCTAGCCCCCGATCTCTCCGGCTTTCTCTTTTCTAGCCTGCCTGGGCAGGCAGGTAGGGGAGAGGGAGAAAGATGCCAGGGAGTCAAGAGATTTGGTACCCTGGAGTAGGGGCTGTCAGTAGAAAAGGCTTCTGAAGAGATGGGACTTCATGCGAAAAGCAGAGACCTGCCCTAAGGGATCCACGGGCTTCCCCCTACTAGGCATCCATCCTCCTGGCCCTGAGCCCTGCCGCGGCGAGCAAGAGAGCTGCGGTCACTGCCCCTCCCCCACCCGCCTCCCCGGGCGGAAACGCCGCCTCGCAAAGCGACCCGACCCGCAACTGNTAGCACTATAGAAATGGGTCACGGACTGGGGTGACACTCGGTGACCAGACATGCTGGGTGGAGGGAGGGAAGGGGAAAGAAGAGAGTGAAGACCCTCCTGAGGGAGCAGCAGTGCCCCCTGCTGTGAACCCCACCCCGGGGATGCCACAGGATAGCCTTCTTTAGGGGACTCTAGAGGCCATCCTCGTGGCCCACTAATACAGCTTGTTCTTCAGGCAGCTCCTGGAAGCCCTACCCTTCCTTCCTGGAAGACCCTATGCTGAACACAAGCCACTCTCCTGGTCACACAGGCTGTCAGAAATTTGTTTCATCTGTCTTCACTGATATGGTTCTATTAGGAGACCTCTAAGGGCAGAGGCCATGTCTCCCCACTCAGACTGGGGGCTTCCCAAAGTTGTGCAGCCTTTCTTTGTACCATGAGGTGGGGTTCATTCAAGTGCCTGAGGAATGGAGAACCTCAGTCCCAGGAGGGCCCCCAAGCTTCAGCTGTAAAGAGAAGGGGCCGAGCTACCCATTCCAGCCAACTAGGTGGTACGCTTTACATACATACACCCTTCTTTCCCTTACCATAATTGAGCCATTGCTTGTTAACTGGGTAATAAACCCCTACTTTACCACCAAGGACACTGAGGTCCAAAGAGCTCAAGTGAGCTGAGCAGATCACCCAGCCTGGCGGGTGAGTGGACACCTGCCTCACCTGTTGATGTTAATGATGTGCCCATCGTCCACCTTCCGCTCCTTCATGGACTGGTAGGCTTCCCGTGTGCAGATGCTGAGGGCCAGCACGTTTACCTGCAGGCCAAGGAGGGTGGGGTGGGGGGTGTTTCTCGCTTGGGCCTATCTGAGCCAGTGATGGGGCCACACCACACACCCTCCCAGGCAGGGTGGTGGCATTTCCAAACAGTGTCCAGGTCCCACGGGAGACTAATGACAGTTCTAGGGCACTTTGCCTTAAAGTGCTCCTCCCCCTAGAGCCACCAGCCCCAACTAACAACAGAGGTAGCTTCTCTACCTGGAAGACCCTCCAAGTTCCTGAAAACAGGAATGGAAACCCCCTCCTCCCAAACCCACCCGTGACCCAGGAACCCTCCTGTCTTGGCTATCTCCTGCACAAAAGGTAGAACCTTAGGGAACCGTCTCTTTTTCTTCCCCCAACATCCTATACTCTTCTCTGGGACAGTGTCCCTGGCTCTGCTCTCTCCTAAACAGCCGAAAATCCTTCCAAAAATGGACTTACAACTCTCTCTCCTCAAGCACAGACCCTAGCCTCTCCCCACCTTACTCGGCTCCTTTCCCATCCCCTCCCAGTCTTCCTTTAACCTCTGTTCCCCCTACAAGGCCGGGCACAGAGACTCTTGAGGGTGGGCAACTTGTCACAGCATAGCAGGGGACTATCCCGAGCACATGGGGGCTTCCAGCCTTTCTTGGCCCCTGCCCACTCCTACATGCTGTCAGAGGTGACCCCAAACCCCCACCCTTACGGAACAGAGGCCTAACGAGGTGCCTCTGCTCTAAAGCTCCTGCCCTGCCCCACCCCTTAGCCTCAGCCATGAGGGCAGATAAAACTTTCAGCAGGTCCTCCTCTCTCCTCTCAGAAAAGGGGGGGCAGCCAGGAGACTAGATGTTTCCCTCTATCAGGCATCAGAGCCAGGCCCCAGGACAACACCACTGGAAGCCTGCCTCAGCATTCACAGGAGGACACAGGAGGCTTTCAGCTGTGTTTCTGGTCTTCTTAGCAATGAGGGTTTGTGGGCAGAGAACTCAGCTTCTACGCACAGATGCAGGGGGAGCACCAGATGCCCGGGGGCCGGGAGAGTCTCTCAGGTCTGTGATGTCCAGCATGGGAGTGGAGAGCCTGCATGGTGTTCAAGCTGACAGGAGCCACGGGGATTGAATGCAAGCCCCTCATTTTACAGATGGGCAAGGTGAGGCCCAGGTTTAGAGACCCATTTACTGCAGGTGAAGAGCACAGCTCAGACCTCCCAGAAGACTCTCTGAGGGCAGGGGCAGTTTCACTGCTCATTGTTTGCTTCAATGTGCACTGTTCATTTCCAGGCCCAAGCACCCGTTAGGTGCTAAATCCATTGTGGGGAAAAGACATATAGCATTCACACACTGCTTTCAATTTCTTAGAATACTTTCATACCCCAGGATTGCCCTATAAGACAGACTGGGAGTTGAAAACCCATGTCACTGAAGGTGATTTTTGGTTCATACATGGTTTTAAATTCATTTTCAACAAGTTTTGGAAGGTTTCACTCATTCAAAAAATATCTATTGCATGTTTACAGGCTGAGGCTGTAATAGGAGAGCTGAGGGCAAAAATCCTTGTCCTCGTAGAGCCAAGGTTTTGGTGAATGGGAGGGGTGGGATGTCACATAAAAATCCAGGCTCTCCCCTCCTCTCAAAGACACCACTGGTGGCGCCACACTGGGGCCCACAGTGCCCTGTAGCAGTGATGCTGGACTGCAGTAGCCTCCTCCGGACATGGCCACATGCTCTCCCACTTACTGCAGGCCCCACCTGACCCACCTCTTTATGCACTGACCTGGCCCCAGGGGACACTGGAGTTTGTAACCCCAGATACTGACAGTACAGGTGTATTCATCCCATTGAAATGTGATGAGACTGAGGCTCAAAGAGGGTAACTACCTACCCAAAGCACATTGTTAATGGCAGGCCTGGGTGAGGACACCACCATCTCCCATCTCCTGGTTTCTTCTCCTCCCATTAGACCATGTTCCCAAGAACTTGGCACAGTGCTGGCACCTGTGAACATTTGCTAAACAGCAGTTCTCTCCTCCACCAATTTTTTTTTCCAACAGTGAGAAACCAGGTCAGATTTTAAGAACTGCCCTCAGGGGCTCAAAGGAAAGAAATATGGAAAAAATACATCCATTCCCCCACTCACTGTCCATCTGGGAGGGAAAGAAGCAAGGGGAGAGTCAAGGTGCCCCAGGGAGGGGCCCAAAGCACCCTCTTGCTAGATGTCCCATCCTGAGCAGCCCTCTGGTTTGCCAACGCTGGCTCCCCGCTCTCCTCCAATCCCCGGCTCAGCCCGCAGCCCTTACGTTGAACATGTCCCTCCAACTGCTGGTGCTGCCAGAGAGCAGTGTGTCAGGCCGGGCCAAGCCAGCGTTGTTGATGCAGATGTCCACACCACTGTGCTGAGAGCGGACAGCCGAGAACATGGACAGAATGTCCTCCTCACTTGACAGGTCACATCTGTAGGGGATCAAAGTCCCGGGGTAGCCTGCACTCCTACATTCGGCAGCCAGCTCCTATGAAACCCAACAGGGGTCTAACTGCGGTGAGCTGCTCACTCCCCCCCACACACCCCCACCGCCCCCAGACAACCTCCCTTCACTTCACCACTCAGGGCTCTCTCCTTGGGGGGCCACCTTTCGGCTCCCCATCCCCAAAACTTGTCCTGTTTGGTCAGAGTCCAAAGGGAGGTGAACACTGCGATCACCAACAGAGAAGCCTCCTGGACAAACCTGGGCATCCAGTTCTTAGAAGGGAAGAGGGGTGGGGCTCTGAGGGGGCCAGAAAAGGGGGTTAAGGATGCTGGCGATGGAGTGATATTCCTTGTCTGCCTCCCCATCAACAGCACCACCTCTGCTCTCAGCTAAGACACACCTCTCACCCTACCTACCCTGTGTTTCTTCCACTGCTGCCAAGAGTCACTGAGCTGCTTATGCCAGGGCCTTGGGTCTCTTCTCTCCTATTGCCTCCAATCCCTCCCAATGGCTTATATCTAAACTATCACCCCCCTTCCACAGACTGCAGCCAGTCGGCTCAGAGCTCTCACACATACTTTTCCACTGAGCCCAACTGCCGATCTCCCCTTGCCCTACCTATAGGAAGGGTCAGAGGTCAATATAGATTCTTTGTCTCTAGCCCTCTTTGCACTACCACTCACCCAAAGTTTGTCTAGAGACTGAGGCAAGTCAGGTGGCAGGTGACATCGAGCGCCCCTGGGGCATCGCTAGGGCTTTCAACACACTGAGGGGCTCTGTGAGAAGAGAGACCCGAGAAAGCAGAGCCTCTGAGAGTTGGGAAGCTGATATTCAGAAGCAGGAAGAAAACACACTGTGAAGCCCTGGAGGGCAGCGACTGGGCCCCTGAGCCTCCTGAAGGTGACTATGTACATGTGCGGGAGGGAGAGGGCTGGGGCGTGCAGGGTGCCCTAGAGGAAGGCCAGATGCCCTGGCCTGGAAACACTTCCTACCCCCAGACCAAGCTGGAAATAAAGGGCAGGATTAAGTGAAGGAAATTATTTTCTGCTTTAACTTTCTGAGAGTTCAAAAGGGACTTAAAACTCCCCTGCACCCAATTTCACCTGTTCAGGACTGCCTCAGGAACTAGGGCTTCTCTGTGGAGGAGCCCAAAACTCAAACTCTGTTTTCCTACCAATCAGTAAAAACAGACTGTGGGCAAGGAAGCCTGGAATTCTCCCCTCCCTTGGCATGGCATCTTCTCCCTTCTACCACTAGACTCAACCCCCCACACGAAAACCCAGAATGGAAGGACTAAGAACATATTTCTCCCTGTCACTGCCTTCTCATTGCTCCACCTGTATTCATCTGTCCTAACAAATGACGCAAAACCATGTCAGTCCCCTCACAGGAGAGGCATTCTTCCCTCATTAAAGGAATCATCTGGGGCTGAGGAATCAGCCTGGGGATCTTCTTGGGACTCAGGAGCCCCCCACTTCTATCCTGGCTAGTTTGGGGTGGGGGAGCAAGAAGAGAAGGCAGGTGTGGCTTTGTACTAGTAATCCAGTGGTCTAATCCCTGGCCTGATCCTTTAGGCTCCTCGGCCTGGGCTGGGCCCTGACCGCAGAATAGGAGAAAGGGAGGGGCAGAGAGTGGGGCAAAGGTATTGTCAGGTGACCTTGGGACTATGCAGGCAGCTATAAAGTGCACCCTGGGTAGTGGCAATGGAGGGGACAGCCGTCCTTCCCAGCCACCTTTGCCCTCTACCCCACCCCCAAGACCTCCTTACCCTCTCTCTGCCTGGGGACTCTGAGCAATGGTTGAGATAACAGCTAAGCACTGACCCTAAAACCTGACAGTTTTTGCCTGGGGCACAAAGATGACCTATAATGAAAAATTTCTCATCTTTTTCCTCCCTGCTTCATACTACTTTTCTCTGATCTGAGCTCTTGTTGCTCACAACTCTGGGGCTCCCAAACCCACCTTAGGAGAAAAACCAGGAGTTTCAGTTCCACATTGCTTTGTCCCCTCAGGTGCTCACATGTGCAATGCCCTATTTCACCTATTCAGTCTCACCTAGGGCAGTGAAATTGGAGAGAGGTCTACCTATGAATATCCCATTCATCTCCTTTGCCCACTGGGTAGGGGTTAACCCTCAGATTTGGTGTGGGGGAAGGGGGCTGAGCCTCTTCAGAAAAGCTCCACTCCCATCGCAACCCCAGCCTCAGCCCTGGTGAAAAATGATTCCGACCCAAACCTCGAGTTCCCGCTCATCTGGCTGGCCAGCCACTTTGCTTAGCTTTGTGAGCTAGATAAGGGGACCAGAGGAAGTAATCCACGGGATTAGTTAGCCACTGAGGCCAGAAAGCTTTCTTTCCTTCTCCCCGGCTCCCCGATCTCTCCGGCTTTCTCTTTTCTAGCCTGCCTGGGCAGGCAGGTAGGGGAGAGGGAGAAAGATGCCAGGGAGTCAAGAGATTTGGTACCCTGGAGTAGGGGCTGTCAGTAGAAAAGGCTTCTGAAGAGATGGGACTTCATGCGAAAAGCAGAGACCTGCCCTAAGGGATCCACGGGCTTCCCCCTACTAGGCATCCATCCTCCTGGCCCTGAGCCCTGCCGCGGCGAGCAAGAGAGCTGCGGTCACTGCCCCTCCCCCACCCGCCTCCCCGGGCGGAAACGCCGCCTCGCAAAGCGACCCGACCCGCAACTGGGCCTCACCTCGATGTTGCCCACGGTGCGGGCGCAACCCACCACCTTCAGTCCCTGCTGGACCAAGGCTCGGGCCACGGCCGCGCCGATGCCCCCCGAGGCTCCCGTCACCAATGCCAGCCGGTCACGCCACCGCTCCATGCCTGCCCTGGCCGGGGCCCGAGCTGCTCGCCGGCTCGCGGAGCTCCTCCCCGGGTCGCACGGGCTGGGTCGCTCTCTGCTCACCGCCGCCCCACCCGCGTCCGAGTCGCGCCGGCACCCTCCTTCATTCTGGCGAGGCTCCGGCTGGGGCTCCACCCTCCGCTCCCTGGCTACCGGCCAAATCCAGCCGAGCACCGCCGAGCACCGCCCCGCGCCTTCCGGCCCCGCCCCGCGCCCGGCGAGCCCGCCCCGCCTCCGCCGGGGAGGGCACTGCTGCCGGCGAAACGGGTGCGGGAGGGTCCTGGGAGCTCGTGGTCTCTCCTCCCGGGGGGCTTTCCCCTTCGCGGCAGGGAAACGGAGGTTTAGAGGGGGCCTGCGCCAGGCCCGAAGGCACACGTACTCTGGCTTCTTCTCCCTCCCTTGTTCCTGACGCGTAAGGTCAGGAAGAGAAATAAGGGCACTTAAGGTGACTAAGCCCTCCTCCATCAGCTGGCGACTGACGGGAAGGATTCAGTCCAGAAAAGACTGTCTCAGCCATCAACGTCGTAATAGGTAACTTGGGAGGCACACTCAACCCTACTTGATCCCTCGGCCTTATTAAGGAAGACTATTTAAAATGGAAAACACCCCCAAGTACCCTCCTTTTGAGGGATTGTTTCCCTAAAGACCTGTCTCCATTTGTCTTAAGCCTTGTGCTCCCACTGGAGCAAATGTCTCACGATGTACATATACAAAAGATGAATGCAGTATCAAACATTTATCAAGCACTTACTGTGAAGTAGGTACTTGTAAGAACTTAAAATATACGTTAACTATCTTTTGTACCTATTAATGTCTTCATTTTATAGATGATTACACTGAGAAAGGGGCAGAACCTGGTTTGGACCTCAAGCAGTCCTGTCTTAGGCCAGGAGATGTGCTCCTTAACTGCCCTCACTCCATTCTCCCTTTTGTCTTCTCTTGAGTTGCTGGTTTTATTCAGAGTAGAGCTAACTTTGTTCTCTGACCACTCAGGACATTCTGTCACAGCGCTGGAAACTGTCTCACTTCTACATTCTTAATATAACCATCCTTCCAAAGGAAAAACACCTCTGCCTAACTACTGGAATCCCTCCACAGCAAACAACAGAACTCACACTGAATGTGACCAGTTTATCCTTTCAACAAGCACTTGTGTTTGGCCCCGAGAGTGAAGATTAAAACAAGACCAGCATTGCTTTTAGGGATCACAAGAGAAAACTGCAACAGGTGGTGGAGAGGTAACTGGGCTCAGAGCCAAGGGCTGTTGGGCGCCCTTAGTAATTTTTTATGGATTCCAGGGTGAAAGCAGACAAGAGTCAGACAGGAAGCATGTCATTTTACCTCTGCCCCCATCCCTATACAAGACAACTCAAGAGGGTGTATCAGAGAAATGCCATCAAATACAAAAACTAAATCTAAGCTGCTGCTGTTATGTGGTAGAAAGCCCATAAAATTCACTCCATCCCCACTGCACAGAGGCATTAGCTGTTCCACTACTTGTCTGCTGGCCACCAAGTATTACCAACATGCAGACACAAAGCTCTAAGTACATTGTGTTTATTGAACTATTGACTCAACCTTTTAAGAGACAGCCAAATGCTTCTCCTGGGGGAATCTCTCCTCCTTCAGTACTCAGACAGCTTGTGAAAGCAGTAAACTGTAATGCCATAGTGACTTTATGGTTGGAAACCAGATAGGCAACATGCACTTATTATACAGACCACAATGTGGTTAGCTCTCAGAGCAGCCTCCTGATCCGTTACACGCTAGGTTATAATTACTTATCAGGCAACCCTTGGTTGAAATTCTGCCAAGTTTTGTTTTTATTCTAGTTCAATATGAACCTCTGAATTTAAGGTGCTTTGTGTTACATATCAGGGAGGTTTTAATAATCACAAAAGTCTCATGAGAAAGCAACATGCTAGCCAATATTTAAAGGTATCGCAAATTTATTCTTTCAAAACAAATAACTGGAAACTGCTTTTCTCAGTTGTCAACTCTGATCATGGGATGAATTTTGTCTTCAACATTCTGTATCTCCTCTCATTTGCTCTTCATCCTCTCTAACATCAACACTGGCAAGTACCAAGTCCACAAGTGGCAAATACAAAATACTGCCACACATTAAGTAGAAACATGTACACCAAATTTTACTATGCGTATTAATAAATATTCTTTATTTTAAATTTTGCACATTGCGCTTTAACATTACATCCAAACATTTTGCAAGTGGATGTCTACTTTGTAAAACCATATATTCAGCTCACTGTCATTTCTGTACAGAAGTATAAGTACAACATTACTTTTTGCCACTAAGTTGCTTTAGTAAGTCTCACAGGAAGAGAAACATTTAATGAAAAGAGATGGCTTAAATCATATGGCAGGCCTACGCAGCCACGCAACTAAAGACACAAGCCTGAAGAAAGAACAAACTAATGAGATTACCTCCACCGTCTCCCAAAACAAGAAAGAATCACACTGATTTAAGATAAAATTTTGCCATCCGTCACTAAATTAAGAGGGTTTTTTTTTTTGAAAGAGAAGGCGCAGTAGTCATCTTGAGTGTTTCATTGAAAGACAGGGCTACTTTATTTAATTTGCTCCAGCCGTTGTCAACCAGCCACTACAAATGGGCCTCTTGTGATCATTTAAGCGGCAGTATTTATTAAATTTCTCCTTCAGATGCTGTCGGTATTGTTCTCTATTGCTGTAGAAAGACTGGTTATTAGCCATAAATGACTGTATTTCATCTTGTGAGATAAAGATTTCCTCATCTGAAGTACATTCAGACTCATCCTGCAAATTAAAGCAATAGTTAATACTGTGACTTAAATTAAGAATGCAAAATGCTACACTGATGGAGCACACCTAAAAATGAAAGCAAGTTTAGCTTTTTAGTTTCAAATCAGTCCCATAAAGCCTTGAATTGGAATGTTTAGAGAATAAGCAAAAAGTCATTCTGTCTTAGAAAGTATAGGAGATAATAAAACCCAACTCAACTTGGTTTGAAATTCTGGATCTATAATTTGTCCTAGAAGCCTGTGTGCCCAGCTACCAACATACCTTTGCCTTAAAAAAAATGGCTAATTAGAGATGGTTACAACTAGTTAATTTTAAATAACCAGACTTAACAGTAGCTGGTCTTGTGTTGTAACTTTTATCTCTACAAACTAAGTAAAATACAACCTTTTCTAAACTTATAAAGTATCACCATCAAACTTTACAACCATATAAAAAAGAAAAATTAGTATTCTCAAGGATTTGGTTCCATTAGGATCCAAATTACTATAGCACCCTCTTCTCTTCCCTTTCCCCCTCCTCCAAGCCCCACACAAACTATGCACTGGGTTGGCTGGAATCAGGTATAATTCACCTGAAATATGGAGAACTGGAGTCAATTATAAAAGATTTTCCAATTTATCCTACATGCTCCTAAAGAAGTAACCTAGAAAGTGGGCCCTAGGTCAGATTCTATATTCTTCCCTGGTCTGTACGGGTGGCTACCATAAATTGCCACCCAGAAAGGCAGTTTGCTTACAATTACCCTCTTCAAGGAGACAGAGCCCTGGATATAAAACTAACTGTATACCCCTCTCCCAACTAGTCTCTTCTACCTTTGAGGCAAAGAAGGGCTAGGAAATGTGCTCCAAGAAGCAGCTGCATAAACCAAGAGTGGAAGAGGATAAATGAAGTTACCAAAAAATAATGAAGTAATGCCCTTAATTTCTTAAAAGCCTCCCTCCCCTCCCAACTTTATACTCTCAAATACTTGTTCTCTCCCACATCTAACCACTGAGTAATCAGTAATCCATAATAAGATGTCATGGCTTACTTACAAGGAGTTCAACTAAGCTCTTGGCACCTTTTCCAGAATCAGGACCAAATGACATTTCTGTAGGTTCTGCAAACTGTTGTATGTTTTTCCTATGCTCAAACCAAGGTAGTGGCTGCCCACCCTTTTCAGAGCTGCTGTAACAGCTTTCAGGATGCACATCTTTGGTCTTGTCCCGGTGAAACACTGTGTGCACGGTATTTCCTGAGGTCTCTCGATTGCCTAGATCTGTAATACAGCTTCCAAGCTTTTGGATCTAAAACCACAGCAAAGGATTCCCAGATAAAAAAGGCAGGAAATAGTAACAATTACTTAAAAAAAAAAAAAAAAGCCCTGACAGTTTGCTAAGTTTTTAGAGGAAATACTGAGTAACAGCAGCAGCTGGCATTTACTACATACAAGACACTACACTAACCCATCAATAAAATCTCATTTCATCTCCACAGAACCTAATCTGATAGGGACTATTATCTCAGAGATCTTATAGATAAGAAAAATAAGATCAAGCAAACTGCTCAAGACTACACAGAAAATACATTTAAAAGTATTCAGAAAAGAATGAATTGGATTTATGACTCACATGGACTGTTGGACAACCGTATCAGACACGCACATACAAGAATCGCTAGATGAGCAACCAACGGAACCGTGAAGGTACCCATGCTAGCTGCAAGCTGCACACCTCCCACTCCAAGGCACACAGGCTGTTCTCCCCTCAACAGCAGAGGTTAAGAACTGCAAGTTATAACACTTACATGTTCATCACATTTCAACATCTTGCTTTTCTTTTTCTTCTTTTTATTTTTTCCTTTGGTGGTATTCTCTTCAGCATTTGCCCAACATTCAACACAACTATCACCGTCATCATCTTTGTCCTCACAGTGATGAACACAGGAGTCATCACCTGCAGAAATCAATAATCTCCTGTTTATGTGCTCAAATTAGCCATGAAGTAGAAATGACTGGGAAGCTGAATCTGAACCTACCATGTTCGTCATGATTACAAATGCCTTCAGTGCAGGCAACATCTGAACCTTCCCGAGAACCTGTTTCACTCCCTTCCATGCTAGATGAATATCCACAGTCACTGCCATTACAATGTGGAGATAAGCCTGAGAATAAATATGTCATAATTAACATACCAATAAATATACATGAAGACAAAGAGTGAACCAACTGGGGACCACAAAAAAAGAATAAGAAACAATGAAAAATATGATTAGGGATTTACAGTTTTGTTTTTGTCAAATAACAACATATCAAACACTACTAAAAAAAAGGAACTGTTCAAGTTCATGATGTGTGATCAAAACTGAAAGTTTCTGTGATGACTGCCCTTGTACTGTTCACCATGTAAGAACTTAATCACTATGTAAGAACTTGTTCACCATGTAAAAACTTGTTCGTTATGCTTCAGAAGATTGGAGACTGTTGAGAATTAGGCATGGGGTTGATTAATGATTGCGCATTGAGACCCCCCTATACAGAATTTCATTGTTGTTAACAACCATATGATCAATAAATATAAGAGATGCCCTCTCAAAAAAAAAAAAAAAGATCACTGAATAGGGAGTCAAAAGACCAAAGTTGGAGTTCTTGGTTGTTCCCTGAAGACCTATGAATATTGTGTAAGTCCCTTTTTAACTCATGCTTTGATTTCTCCATCTTTAAACAGGATAATAAAGCCTGCCTGGCTTCTGGGGAAAAAAAATAAATTAACTATTCAACATAGGGGCACCTAAATATACAAAACAAATACTAACAGAATTAAAGAAGGAAATAGACTGTAACATGTTCACATTTTAGGAGACTTTCACATACTACTCACATCAATAGACAGATAAACCAGACAGAAAATAAATAAGGGAACAGAGGCACTGAACAATACAACTAAATCAAATGGACTTAACAGGTATCTACAGAACACTCCATCCAAAAGCAGCAGGATATACATTTTTCTCAAGTGTACATGGAACACTCTCCTGAATAGTTCACATACTAGGCCTCAAGAAGAGCCTCAATAAATTCAGAAAGATTGAAATTTTATCAAGCAGCTTCTCAGAGCACAATGGTATAAAACCAGAAATGAATTACACAAAGGAAAAAAAAAAGGAACTATTAAGTTCTAAATTATATAAACTAAATTTTAAGTCTAAATTATATGATATTCTTGGGGCTATAAAGCAATTCCTAAATTATCGGTTATAAGTCCTCTAAAAGCTCTTACATTTAAAAGAAAGAATAAACAAGAGTCAAATATAAATGTATTTACTTACCTTTCTTTATTTTAGGAGACCCCAAAAGATTGCCACTGCCAGGACAGGTACATGATGTAGTCTCGTTGGTAACAATTACTTCTACACAACTACTGCCATCTTCCGTGCCACCACAGGCTTTGCAGCTGTTTTCTATGAAGTCTGTTTCCTTTAAGGATCAATATTAAGAGATAGTAAAAGCTTTACTTGCATAATGGCTAATTTTAATTTCCTTAATATTAACAACTAGATAGGAGTTACTGAGGTTAACAATTGGAAAAACTATTCTCCTGAAATCACTAAATCACTTCAAGACTATGAACCAACTAAAAGCAAGTTAAGAGTTAATGGCATCAGGGGAGTCAGGAAAATCTCAAAGTGTGGACTGCTGACCCCAGGGGTTCCCCAGATCAAAATTATTTTCATAATAATATTAAGATGTAATTTGCCTTTTTCAATTTACTGACATATTCCCTGCTGATACAAAAGCAATGGTAGGAAAAGATGCTGGTTGCTTAGCATAAATCAAGGCAGTGGCAACAAAAGCTACTTAACAGTCACTACAGTCTTCACTTGCCAAGCACTCGGAGGAAATAGATAAACAGATAATTTCACTTATGACATCTTTGATGAAGTAGTAAAAATGTTAACTTTATTAAGTATCAATTTGAGTTTAAGTCTTTTTTTTAACAGTCTATGTGATAAATGGGAAGTGTGCTTAAAACACTTCTGCCTGCATACCAAAGTACAACGGATGTCTCAAGGAAGAATACTTGTGCAACCATCTGAGTTGCAAGCTGAACTAGCTGCTTTTTTCCCCTGGTACATCAATTTCACTTGAAAGAAAGAATGAGAGATAAACTATTTCACTTGAAAGAAAGAATGAGAGATAAATTATAGTTATTCAGGCTTGGATATTTAACAGACACTTTCTCAAAAATGAATCATGTCAGCCTACCACTTCAAGGAAGACAATGGACAGTATGTGATGTCAGTGATAAATTCACACTTTCAAACTATAATCAAAATTTTGAAAACTTGAATACACAAACACAATGAGCTTGAAGCTTCCCAATACTTAAAGACCTTTCTGATGAGCTCAATAGTGGTTTCAATGTGATTATCTGATATTACAACAAGAAATGTCTGCCTAACTCAGTGAACCAGTATCTTTCAAATGACCAAAGCATGATGCTTCAAAATCATGAATTAGTAAAAAGATCTATTCAAAGAACATCTCAGACCAATGGATTTTAATTTAAGAGGATGAAAGGGTCATTGGTAACGTGTCAGGTTCACATTGCAACTAATCTTTAAGAAACCACTTGTCTAGTTGTAATGCCAAAGAATATCCACAATTATCTGAAAAGGTTTAAATACTACTCCCTTTTCCTACTCTATTATCTATGTGAGGCCAGCCTTTCTTCATATGCTTTAACCAAGCAACATATGCAAACAGACTGAATATAGAAGCAAATATGAGAATCCATCTGATTCCCTATAAACTAAACATCACAGATTTTCAAAAATATAAAATAATGCCACCCTTTTCACCTTTAAAGATCATTTTTCAAAAAATGTTATTCATGTTAACATACAATGTGCTCATTATTTTTAAAAGAAAAAATAATTTAAAATTTCTCCATTTCAGTCTCTAATACAGCAAATGTTGGTAAGTATAATCCACATAAACAAAAGCTCACTGGGCACTTCAATTTTTAAGAATGCAAAAGGTCCTGAGACCAAAATGATGAGAACTGCTCTAGGTCATGCATACGGTTAACTTTCCACATTTGGACTTTGATCTAACAACATACTAAGTCAAGTCAAAAGATAACTATCCAACATTGTCTTTATAAAAACAAATATCTGGCATTAAAATTTTTGACCTACACAGATTATAGTAGGAAAAAATCCAATATACAAGCTGCAGGAGCTCACATTCTGGAAAAGCATCGTAAAAATGTCAAAATCTAGCAAAAGCCAATAATATATGCTATGAGTCAACATTAAGAAATAATACTATTACCTTCTCTTGGCTTACTTCCTTTTCATCTGCTGTTTGTAAGGGAGTAGGAATATCACATACACATTTATTTTTTCGTCTGTTTTTCCGTTTTTGGCGTTTCTTTTCTTGCTTGAGTTCTCTTACTCGTTCCTCCTCAGAAAATTCTTCACAAAGTTGTTCCAATCGGCTGATACCCTGTACTTTTTCCACAGTCATCTATTATAAAAACAAAGCTGAGAATGAATACTGGTCATAACTCATTTCCATGGACACTGTCATTTGTTAATTATAAATGTACCAACCAACACTAATATTTCATACTGTAATTTTGCCAGGTAGTCCCACAAACAATCTTAAGTGTTAATACCTTAAATGATGACAGTCTTAAAATCTACTTAGGAAGTGAATATACAACTAGTCCTTGTGGGAAAGGTAGATTTATACACACTCCTATCCCAAACCAACAACATTCTAGTTTTAAACTTCATAATTTTAACACAGCTAAGTAAACATTCACTCCTTTCTTTCCACAATGAGAAGACTATTTAACAGGTTTCTGAAGTCATAAACATATAAAACAATACGGAATAGGAAATTTGTTCAGCAAGAACTAGTATGTATCTCCTCAGACTTCCCTGAACACTGCTTAGAGTTCACAGATGGGTTCTGAAAAAAAGATTTATATAGTTTTCACCCCATTCTCAAAAGGGACTGGTGACACAAAATTAAAGGATTACAACCATGGCCTAGAATGTAACAAAATATTCACTACGCAAAAACATTCTGCAGAGTACAACTTTAAAAAAAACTGTTACCAAATCATACGCACTAAGCCCAATACTGGCATTTCAAAAAGACTTTAGTGTACTTATAAAAAATCATTCTTACACCATGAATAGCCAAAGCAATCCTGAGAAGGAAGAATAAAGTGGGGGGGATCTCGCTCCCCAACTTCAAGCTCTACTACAAAGCCACAGTAATTAAGACAATTTAGAGCCACAGACCAGTGGAACAGAATAGAGACTCCAAACATTAACCCAAACATATATGGTCAATTAATATACATTAAAGGAGCCATGGACATACAATGGAGAAATGACAGTCTCTTCAACAGATGGTGCTGGCAAAACTGGACAGCTACATGTAAGAGAATGAAACTGGATCACTGTCTAACCCCATACACAAAAATAAATTCGAAATGGATCAAAGACATGAATGTAAGTCATGAAACCATAAAACTTTTAGAAAAAAACATAGGCAAAAATCTCTTAGACATAAACATGAGTGACTTCTTCATGAACATATCTCCCCGGGCAAGGGAAACAAACGCAAAAATGAACAAGTAGGACTATATCAAGCTGAAGAGCTTCTGTACAGCAAAGGACACCATCAATAGAATAAAAAGGTATC